CTGGGGCTAGACAGCAGAGAAGAACGGATATGGGAGATAGAGGAGACAAGACCGAAAGGTGAATTTGTATGGGCTTGCGTAGAGCCTTGTGGGCAAAGAAAACAAGCCGGGTGCCATGGCAGAGAGAGAAAACATTTGCTGCGAGGGTGTTGTGGAGGAATATGAACCAAAGAGGCCAGAAAGAGGAGTTAGCAGTAAAAAAGGACAAGCACTCCAGCTGTTGCAAGAAAAGCAAAGGGCTACTCATATTCGTATGCTCTGCTTGTGTAAACGGAGAGCAGTATTGGCTCTGTGTTACAAACCCTGTTTTCAGACATAAGTTTGTCAGCCCAAGTAAAGAGAAACAGATCAATGGATTGCAATAAATGGCATTTAACATAAAAATGAGTAAAATTTACAATTCAGTTAACTCGTTAAATGTTAAAAAATCAGCAAACAATAGACACAATTTGTTTTGTTCAGAGCCCAGAGGTAGAGACTAAATCCTCTAAATTAATTTCTGCAAAAGCTGGGGTTTTTTTCCAAACAGGTCTGGATCCTATTCGTTGTAGAATATACTGATTACCAACTATTTTTAAGAGCTTTACACAAACATTATTTCTTTTGTTGTGTGAAATGCAGAATCAGCCATCTGGCAAATGCCCCAGAGCTAAAATCTTTTACATGACATATAATTCAAAATGATTAAATATACAACAGAAAATAGCTATAGCATTGCACTTAAAATAGCATGAACTTTTACTGCCGATCAAAACTGATTTCTTTAGCTTAACAAGTATCCAAAGAACAATTATTTGAAGAGCTTTTAAGAGTTTCAATGTGTAGGCACTAAACCTCATCTAAATTCAGTATCTTAAGTCAAATAAAAAAGAAACAAATGTACAAAAGATTAAATGGTCCTGCGTTATAAGTAGACATTTAAATCTATGGGAAGCTAAATTCATTTGAACAAAACTACTATATTCCCTCTCTATGTGTATTGCTGGGGCTTTCCTCTCCATTGCTAAGGGCATCTGCCAAAACAACTCTTACATTCTTAGGCAATGACTAGGGACTAGCCTGGAATCAGACTGTTCGTCCACTCCCTCCATCATCAGAACGGGCAATTTCAAAGAAGACCAGGGAATAAAGCTCCGTGCATGATCCCTAAGTGCAGTCAATCTTTTTTTCCTGCACCACAGTCGACTTTAACTTAAACTTGCTGTCTTTCTTCCAGAAATACTCCAGGCCTGAAAAATTGCCAGGTCCTCATCCCACACCCAGTTCTCCAGTAGTTTATGAGAAAGAGCACGCAAACATCTGCATGTGTTTGGGGTACACGAGGGTAGGTGCAGAAATATTACCCCGCGTAATTATTGAGTGGTTATGGCTCTGTTTCTCAACTACATTTTTCAGACAAGTCAAAGTCTACATTTCCCAAAAAAGCACTTGGTGCAAGTCAGATCTGAGTTGTGAAACAGAAAAGTCTAAATGTAGCAGATTTATCTCACGGCTTTGCATACTTGGATAAACCCGAAATGGATGAATACATCGCTGCTGACGTTCCAAAAAATTTTGCTTCTAAATTCTTTCAGATCAAGCCTGAGAACCTTCATCCCGAGGTAACAATGTGAGGAAACTCTAAGTCTGTGATTACTAAGGCTTAGAATTAAAATGGCTTTGCACCCTTGCCTGTGCAGTTGGCTCAGCCTCACAACCAAGGAACCTCAGACGTTCTAACCCCAGACTTTTCTAAAATCTATAATAAAATAACATTCTTGAATCTTGACCTTTTCGGCTCATCACATTTCCTGAAGCAGCAGGATTTTTCCTGCTGCTTTTTACAAGACTTTCAGGCTTGTAGCAATCCTAAACTGATTGCTGGCTGGTTTGGGATTGCAGCAACACCAAAACCTCTCCTCAAAACCTCTCCTCTCAACAAGACACTTGTCCTTGTTTTCTGGGCCTAATCCCGCTCTTAATAACATGCATGTTAATTCAGTTACTTGACTGAGCTTTTAGTGTAAAAGCAGGCTTTCTGTCTTCCTGCTCTTGATGGTATAATGAAGAGATGCATACATTTCAGGTAATGTTGACTGCAGTACAGAAAGCTACCCTATGCACCGTACACATACTAATTAAACCTGAAGATGGAATATCAAAATAGTAGCACAAATATTCTCATGTTACAAAGAGCAAAAGCATGTTTTATGTTATTTAAGCCATCCTTGGGAGAACCACAGGAGAAACAGGGCAATTTTCAACAGAAGTATCTTTGCTTTTCATCAAAAGAGAGGTGACCCAGGCAATCTCCTATAATCTTTACCATCCCGGTATAACAAAATTTCTATTTTTGGCAGTAGTTTCTCTTTGAAAGCTATGGGCTTCTCTGATATTCAGGCGTCCTAAAGCCTGAATGTCACAGCTCTTCTTGTACCTCCCTGCTTTGCATTAAACATAACATCATACATTTTCTACTTTTCACTGAAAAATTGGGAAATCTTCCCATCTTTCTATTGACCAAACTCTGTTTCAAAGGTGCCAGGAGTCCTATTTCTGGAAAAAAAAAAGAAAAAAAGTAATACTCCTAGTGAAACAGGAGTCTAGTCCCAGTATCTATTCAAAATAAACAACGTATCTTCTTACAAATGAGCATTCCCATTCTTATTTATGTGTCCAATTTTGCGTACTTCGCAATAGTGGGGGAAAAAAAAAAAAAAAGAAAGATTGAAGAACACATGGAGAATCAAGAGAAATTTGAGCGTCCCCAAGGAAACAGAGGTTTAGGGACGGAGTAATAACTGCAAGATTGTAATGAGAGTTTGGAAAACGTTGCTAGATAAAAACGCGTAACAAAACTGTTGCTGTCGTTTCGTTCCCTGGGCCTGATTATGTTTTCATGATGGGCCTTTGCACCGCTTCAACAGTAAGAGCTCTTTAAGTAAATGAGTATCAGACCTCCGCGCTAGTGAAACGCGAGGCTTGCCAAATCTAACGGGAGTCTCCGCGGTACTCTACGTCCACTCCTCTTGACAAAGAAGTGGTGGAAGCAAGCTCAGTAGTTCCAAATGGCGCTTCTTCCCCTCTGGAACGGTACCTGGACGCTGCCAGTTTGGAGGCAAGTCAGTGCCAAGGCTGTACGCTTCCTTGCCCTCTTTCACAAACAGCCAAGAAACAATCAGAAATCGCTTCATAATAGGGCCAGGGTGAAAGGTGAGGACTGGAGTATTCTGAAAGCCTGCTGCCAGACCTGAGGAAGATAGTGTCATTTTGGTAAACCTGTCAAGCTGTTGTAAGAACTTCCTGAATGCTTCCTACCATCTGCTTTTGATGCTTTCAAGACTTGGCTGGAAGCCTGGAGGTTTTCCTGCTCCTTCCTGCCCAACCTATAATGGAGTAATCCTGGATCTGTTCCCTGTCATCCCAGCCTCTTCCTCAGTTTCTTCTGCTTACAGCTGGGGTTTTTTAATTATTTTTTTTTTCTTTACTGCAGTGGCCTTGTGCCCTGAATCATCTCTCCTGGGGCGGTAAGAGTTCCTCTGATGTTGAACAAGTGCCGGGTTTTTCAATTGTGTTCATGTTCTTGAGAGGAAGGGTCTGGCCTACACGACACATTCCTTCTTCACACTCACATCAACAAGTTTAACTTTGTGTCCAGGGCTCTCAATGGAACAGCCGCACAAAGCCCATCTCCAACGGCTCCGTCAGGCTGCACGCTGCGCTGCTCTGGGTAGCGAATATTGATTGATACAATTTGTAGGGTTTGAGATAAATGTCGTAAAGGACAATGAGTTCAAAGAACAGATTAAAAAACAATAAATTGAATTCCAAGGCGTTCCCTCCTGTACTAATCTGTGTAGGTTCCTGTGTTTTTGGAAAGCATGTTGCTTATCTTCCTCATCAGTAGGCCCACTGCATTCCAGTATTTTGGATCAATGCCATTTGTAATAATCTAGATCAGTTTTTATTCAACGTTTATAAAACAGGCCATGTATCATAGGGTATATTTTATAGCAGATGGTATCTCCAATTCATTTAACCCCCCCCCTTCACTTCCCTCCTCCAATATCACAGCGCATACTCATAAAAGCTCTTGAAAGTAGAGCTGAGCAGAATTTTTTTCAACAAATAGTAAATTTGCTGAAAAATGGAGTTTCCAAGCAACAAAACTGTTAAACTGTGGCACGCTGAAAATGAAATGTTCCGTCTTCTAGAAACACCAGGTCTTGCAATTTGGACATTTGGAAAAAAAAAAAAAAAAGTGTGTGGGGGGGGGTGGTTGCTTTCAGAAATCGTTTTCATTAAAAAAAAAAAAAATTGCACTAAAAAAGTGATAAACACAAAGGTTAAATAGCCAAACACAAAGTGTTTGTTTCAGATCAGATTGTATTTTTTTTGAGTTATCCCAGTGTCAACCGTTTGGGGATCTTCTGTGTGGTTTTAATTTGAAAAGTTTCTCTTTCGGCTTGAACTGATTTGCCCTAAGGCTTATTAACTTGGAGACTCATCTACAAGACCCAATATTTGCCAGACTGTACTCAAGCACAGCTCTACGAGGTGACAAGAAAGCTTCCTGTTCAGCAAGGCATTTAAACATAGCCCTAAGACTCATTTCCATAAAATGGAGTATTCTAACATATAGAGATAAGCACGTGCTTAAGCACTTTGCTGGTTTACAGCACAGAGTTTATGAGCTTTCAGGATCAATGATGTACACCTTACAACCGCGCCCTTGCTTGAGATCATCATGTAAGAGACTGAAGATTTTCCTGAGATTAACATACCAAATGGTAATAAAATATATTTATTCATATCTGCTTGGGAATACGTCATCGTAATTTTTCCCAAATATGATTTATACAACTCTGGGGATACATAAATCACCAGTAAACAAGTTAAAAATATTTAAGCTCAGTGGTAACAGAACCAAATCATGGACTTTTTTTATGTTTTAGCTTTAATCACGCATCCTAGAAGACAGGACAAATACACTCAGTTTACGTTGCAGAAGTTAATCATACCTGCATTTCTCAGAAACCTGAGTTCGTAGTCAACAATAACTCTGGTTTCAGGATTATAGAATCCATCACCACAGTCGTAACAACCTTCTGGGATTTTTCTGGGAGGATCCAGATTTGTAAGCTGAGAAATGCCTGAAGAAAAAAACACAAAGGGTTTGCTCTATTTTGCCTTGTTGGGTTTTTTTCCCATTCTCCGTGGCATTTGGTGTAAGAACAATGCTGTGATCTTACAATAAGTTTTATAACACATTTTGCCAATTTTGTAGATGGGGAAAATGAGAATGGAAAAGTCCATCCACAAAAAGTGTGTGATAAAAAGATATCACTTTGATTTCCTCATTCACGGTCCTGTGATTCAGCCCACTAAGGTAACATTATGAATATGACCCCGAACTCCAAAATGCGGCCAGGAGAGTCTTGCTGGCCTCACGGAACAACTACATGTCATCGCTAAAATATTCTATGTTTAAAGAAGGGTATTTTATGTAGAACATTAGGTGTTTTACTCACTTTTTCCTTATAAATATTTTCACCTTTAGCCTACAGACAAAAAATAACATTATAAAAGTCTTAGCAAAAATATTGGGCACAAATGTTTATTTTTTGATATCTACTAAAAAGCTACATGGGACAGACAAATTCAAACTTTATTCGATGGTCTGGATGTAAATTAATTGCTCTTGCTCAACTTTTCTATATTAGAAGCGCACTGCTAATGCAGTGAAGGCAAAATGTATAAAAGGGTTAATCAGGATGTTGAAGGCTGTGGCTAACAAAGCCCTGTCCTGTGGGTCATCACGCCAGAGGAGACCACGCTGTGGATGCAACGCTGCATCCCGCGCGGCGCTGGTGGAAGGTGGTGTCAGCACTCTTCTGGCAGCGTCGTATGGTCTGGTCCTGAAATTAGCCAGAGCCTTTCTGCTCCATGTAGCCGAATTAATCTTTCTTAAGCAAAGTTGTTAGTTTAATTCCTTCCAGACTCTGAGGATCGCAAATGCAATTCAGTACCTGCTGGTTTAAGACCAGAGCAGATTTCTGTGTAAAATCTTCTGTCGTAGCCGTCACAGTAATGCCATTTTTTATCTTTGTATTCGAGACCATCTGCAAAAGTGTATTTCCCCTGCAAAACATGTCCGAGCGCAGAGTTAATAAACATGATGGATGGATGGAGTACGCACAAGGCGAGCGTTCCCACTGCCAGCCCTGCGCTTC